GAGAGACTCGGGAAGGGCACATCCGCTGCTGTCAAGGAGCTCACAGTTGACAGAGAGGCAAAGCGAATAGACAGACAAGGGCGGGCTGGGGGTGCCGCTCACCTTCACTGGCTGGGTCAGGCCCTGGGTTCAGTCCCAAGCACCGATAAATAAATAAACCAATAAACAGACCAGTAAATGCACTGTTTGATAAGACAGGTGCTCCGAGGGGGAAATCAGTAGCTCTGGTGGTCAGGAAGGCCTCTAAGGAGGCTCTGACAGGTGAACAGGTTGTGTGCTGGAGGAGCTTTGGGCAGGGGGCAGCCTGCAGACGAAGTGGATTTGCCCTTCAGGGACCAGCTCCAGGTCTGCTCCTGATGCTCCCAGGTCTGATTCTCTCCCTCCTCTGGGACTCAACAGCCCTTGGTTTATGTAATAAGACTGGCACTGTAGTGGGCTCTGCTAAGCTCTGTCTCCCTGTTGGTGGTGAAGTCTTGCGGGCAGGAACATGTCCTTCTCATCCCCGTGTCTTCTGCTTTCCTCTTGTTGAGCCCCTAACTCCTTACACAGTGCTTGGCCCCTGGAAGAGGCAGAGTCTAGAGAATGAGTGGGTGGGAGCAGGTGCTCTCCTGCTGGCCTTGGATAACAGCTGTCTCTGGAGCTAGAGTGGACCCTCTTTATCTGTACAGGGTGCAACGACAAACCAGGGAGTTTAGTAATGGGCAGGCTGGGGTGTAGCTTGGTGGTAGGGTGCTTGCCCCAGCTGGCGTAAGGGCCTGCACTTGATCACCAGCACCTCATTAAAAAAAACAACAAACAAATAAAGAATATACAATGGCAAAGGAGGTCCTGCTAGTTAAATTGTTACAAATACACTGCCACACCTATGCTCCTTTGCTTTCTTCTCCTCACATAGTTTGCTTGTGTATTTCTTGTGGTTCCCAGGGGTCCTCTACCACAGAGCTCTAGCCCCAGCCCTTTCTTATTTTTATTTTGAGACGGGGTCTCACACAGTTGCTCAGGCTGGCCTTGAGCTTGCCATCCTCCTGCATCAGCCTCCTGAGTCGCTGGGATTACAAGCGTGGGCAGTTCAGCCCTGGCATAGCTTCTTATTTAAAAGACCACGGTGTGAATAGGCCACTTGCCTGTTCACTCCATAGGCTCATGGGACGACAGGGTGGCCTTGGTTTCCATCTAGCCGTCATGGCTGTGTGCATGGCACCTACCTGTGGAAACTGGCAGGTAAGGGATGAGAGAGTTCCAGGTGCGCCACGTCTGTCAGACCTGATGATGTTGGGCTGCTTGTGCAGACCATGTCACCTTGCACTGTCACATTGCTCCATGTGGTCTGTGCTGGCCCCTGTCCAGCTGCAGCGTGTTTCTCTGCCGTGGTGGGCATTGGGTTGTGGTGGGTGGACCATCCTCATGCACTTCACTTTTCAAATGGAACTTGGACACCTCATTAAATGAAACTTGTGTCCATTTGCTCTGGTTATTTCTTTGGTAGTGGTGATTGGCCCATGGTGCTCTACCACTGAGCTACATCTTCAGCCCTTTTTCATTTTTGAGACAGGTTCTTGCTAAATTGTTGAGGCAGAGCTTGAATTTGTGATCTTCCTACCTCATCCTCCAGAGTTGCTGGGATTATAGGCATGTACCATGTTGCCTGTTCCTTTTAGTGATTTCTTTTGGGTTGCATGAAGATAACTTTGTCGGTATTTTTATGCATTTTCTTAAAAACAGGGTTGAAAAATACAGGCCAATAAAGCTGAATGAAATTGTTGGGAATGAAGACACTGTGAGCCGGCTAGAGGTGAGTGGCTTTTAAAAAATGCTGTCTTTTGATGTCCTTCTTTGACAAGCTCAAAACATTTAGAGGAAGACAGTCAACTCAGTGAGGGAGGGGCTGGGGATGTGGCTCAAACGCTCGCCTGGCGTGGTTGCGGCCCAGGTTCGATCCTCAGCACCACATACAAAGATGTTGTGTCTGCTGAAAACTAAAATGTAAATAAAATATTAAAAAACAAAACAAAACAAAAAAAACCTCAGGGAAAGGCAGACCAGGAATCCAGAAGAATCAAGGGATAGAAGACATTCAATCTGAGGGACAGTGGAAACTCTGGTGGCAACCATCAGTGGTTTTAAAGGACTGGCTTTTCAGAAGTTTCAGACTTGATCTTATCCATCTCTAGCAGAAGAGCCAAACTTTTCCTATAATGCCAGATAATATCTTCAGCATTGAGTCGCCAGCACCCTTGTAACAAAACAAAACGAAATAACAATGCTTTAAAAATGTGAAAACCAGGGCTGGGCCTGGGGCTCAGTGGTAGAGCGCTTGCCTAGCAGGTGTGAGGCACTGGGTTCGATTCTCAGCACCGCATACCAATAAATTAAGGTCCATCGACAACTAACAAAATATTTAAAAAAAAATGTGAAAACCATTCTTAGCCAGGAGACTTACAAAAACAGACTTCATGAAGGATTTTTCCACCCTCACCCCCAACTGGCTATCCTTTGCCAGCCCCTGCCTGAAGGAGCTAGATGGCTAAGTGACAAGGCACGACACGAGGAAGAACATGCAGAACCACTTGGCAGTAGAGCAGGCTTTGAATTCCCAGCCTTGGAGGTCTTTCTGTGCAATCTAGAAGCCCAGTTGCTTGAGAAATGACAGAGATCGTCTCTATAGTAATCGGGGGCTTAGCTATCAGGTTTATTTTGATTTATTAATTTTACAAATACTTGAAGCCAGGCACAGTGGTGAGTGCCTATAATCCAGCAGCTCTGGAGGCTGAAGTTCAAGGCCAGCCTTAGCAACTTAGAAAGGCCCTAAGCAACCTAGCAAGACCCTGTCTCGAAAAATTAAAAAAGGCTGGGGATGTGGCTCAGTGGTGGAGTGCTTGCTCAGCATGTGTGAGGCCCTGGGTTCAAGCCCCAGTACTGCAGCTACAATAAAAAACGTTTGGGCTTCAGGCCGAGGGAGCTTAGTGGGGAGCACCTGCTTGGCATGTAGAGGCCCTGGATTCTGTTCCCCAGCACTGAAAAAGAAGGTGAGGACAGGAAGGAGTCACCCCAGGGTTTTAGTTAGGTAAAATTGGGGTTTGAATGGGTTGGTGGGTGGGTTTTGCTGTACTGCAGATTGAACCCAGAGCTTGTTCGTGCCAGGCAAGGGCTCTGCCACTGAGCTGCGTTCCCCAGCCTTTATTTTCCTTTTGTCTTAGTTTGAGATGAGACCTCCTTAAATTGCCCCGATGGTCTCGAATTGGCCATCCTTCTGCCTCAGCTTTGGAGAAGCTGGGATTCCAGGTGTGAGCCAACGCGCTTGGCAAAGCTTTCAGTGGTTGTGTAGTTTAGAAAAATGATTGTACTTACAGTATGAAAAATGAGTTGGCCTGGGGCAGAAGGAGAAGCAGGAGACAGTGGCCCTCCTCCAGGGGGGGACAGCAGGCGCAACAGTGGGAGAGGAGCTGGGGCGCAGGAGGGAAGGCAGGCCGCGGAGCTGTGGTGCCGGTGCCGTGAGGCCAAGGGCGAGTGTCGCCTCCAGGCCCATCTAGGTCCCATCCTGGACCACCTGGGGAGGGCTGGAGAGTCCATGGGAGAAGAAATACAGGCTGGGCTTCAGGTTTGTAGGGCTGATGAGTTCCGTTTTGAATGGGCTGAGGTGCAAGTCCCAGGAGCCATCCTCCTGGAGAGGTGAGTCACGCGTGTTTCACCACATGGGTCTGTGCGCTGGGAGACTTGGCCCCTGGGCCTACGGGTTAAGTGTTTTGTTTTTTTTTTTGTTTTGTTTTGTTTTGTTTTTTAAATATCTTTTTTATTTTTCTGTGGTGCTGAGGGTCGAGCCCAGTACCTCACAGGTGCAAGGCAGGTGCTCTACCACTGAGCCCCAGCCCCAGCCCTTTTTAGTTTTCATTTTGAGACATGGTCTTGCTAAGTTGCTGAGGCTGACCTCCAACTTGTAGTCCTCCTGCCTTAGTCTCCCAAGCTGATGGGATTACAGGCTTGTGCCACTGCGCCCAGCTTGACTTAGTCAATTCTAATCAGCCTCTTTCCCGCAGGTCTTTGCGAGAGAAGGGAACCTGCCCAATATCATCATTGCGGTGAGTGCCCTGCTCTGGTTCTGCCCACTGAGTGCCTCTGCACTCTGTCCTTCCTCCCCAGAGAGGCCCTGGGCCATTTCGGTCCTGTTATGGGGAGGCCTGTGGGTCACTTGCTGTACTGTGCGGTTGTGTGTCGAGGGGTGGGGCAGGGTGGGAGTTGGGGGTGGCAGGGGCCCAGGAGCACCCTGGGGGCCTTCTGGTGGCCTGAAGCTCTGACAGGAGCCCTCGTTCCCAGGGTCCCCCGGGAACTGGCAAAACTACCAGCATCCTGTGTCTGGCCCGCGCCCTGCTGGGCCCCGCGCTGAAGGACGCTGTCCTGGAACTCAACGCCTCCAACGACAGGTGGGCCTGGGCTGGGTGTGGGGTGAGGACAGCGGTGGGGGACGGTGGTGGGGTCTGCCTTCGCAGTAACGGCTGTGCCCCAGCTCGCTGCCCAGCCCTGTGCTTCTGGTGCCCACCTGTCCAAGCACCAACTGAGAGTCTTGTTGTTTTCCTTTGTGTTTTGGTGGAAAGTTTTGAAAAATCATTTTAAATTGTGGTGAAGTAGACATAATGCAAAAATGGCCACTGTCACCCCGTGCTTGGCGTGCACCAGGCGGGGCCAAGCATGTCCCCAGGATTGCACTCCCTTCAGGTGGCGTCTGGCAGAGCTGGAGCCCTGTGCCAGAACCAGCCTGCTCCCCGCCAAGCCCTGCTGCCTGGCTGCCTGCTAGAGCCCACAGGCCTGAGGAGTGGAGGAATCACGCTACTATCCCTGGTCCCTGCTTGGTCAGGCCATGTGGCCGGAGCACCAGCGAGCTTGCCGCCCTCCACTTGGCTGGGGAATGCCTGCCCCGCGTGTGTCCTTCCAAGTTGTGTTTATTGTCTCTGAAAAGGACAAGAGCTGCTTCTGTCCTTTGGCAATGGCAAGTGTCGGCCCTGTGACCCTGGGGGACCAGAATCTCTTCAAGTCCCTGCCTTTGATTCTATGGGGAAAGGGTCGACACCCAGAGTGGACCTGCCTTGTTCTGTTTTGGTGGTTCAGTGGCCGCCTTGCTCTACCAGGTGGCTGTTCATACCCCCACCAGCTGTGCGCAGGGTCCCCATGTCCCCAGGTCCTCACCAACACTGGGTATTTCTGTTTAGGGTTTGCTCCGTCCTCTCGATGGCGGGCATCTGTTCCCTTCCTGTCACCTGTAGGTACACAACCGCTGCCAGCTCTCGGTCATCACACACCACACCACACAAGTGCTGGGCGGGAGCATCATAAAGACAGGGAACACTGGCTTAGTCAGCTTTCATGCTACTGTGACCAAAGATGCCACAAGAATCGTAGGAGAGGGAAAGTCCACCTGGGGCTCTCGGGCCATAGACGGCTGACTCCATCACTCTGGGCCCAGATGGGGCGGAGCATCATGGTGGGAGGACCCAGGGGAAGAGAGCAGCTCTGGACATGGCTGCCAGGAAGCAGAGAGAGCTCCACCCACCAGGTACAAAATGAGTCTCAAAGGCACGTCCCCAGTGAGCCACCTCCTCCAGCCATTCCCCAGCTGCCCACAGTCACCACCCAGCGGATCAGGTCACAACTCTCCCATCCCCTCCCTCCACCTCTGATCCCTCTAGTGCTGTGTCACTGTGAACTCCTGGGGGACACCTTGGGTCTAGCCCACAGCCAGCACTGGTCAGCAGACTGTGAGTGCTGGTGCATGGGCATCCTGAGGATGGAGGAGGACTATCGTATGGGTGAGCAAGATGCGGTGTCCAGGGGGTGGTGTGACCAGGTCCTTCCTGTCCTGTGTCCACAGAGATGGAAAGAGATTTGTTTTTTCTCTTAAGAAATACATTGTTTGGGGCTGGGGACATTGTTCAGGGCTGGGGACAGAGCACTGTTGGTCAAGCGCCTGCCTCGTGTGCACAGGGCCCTGGGTTCAGTCCCCAGCACCACACAAAAAGGAAAAAAGAAACATGCTGTCCAGCCTTGACTGGATTACTGGAGTCATGGCCTGAGGTGAGGCCACCCGTCAATGTCACACCAGTGGCATCCCTGGTGCTACAGCCAGCGTCTGGGCAGCCTTTGGTGATTATCTGACCATTATGAAAACTGCCCATTTTTCCCTTTGCTGAGGTGAACAAGGCCTCAGTGTGCTGTTCTGGTGGCCAGGGCCTTGCTCACCCGGCATACCCCACTCCTGAGCCCGGGCCCGGGCAGTGGCCATGTATATTCTCAGCCATGGTCCACGAAACCTCACGGACTACGAAGATGGCAGTCCAGGCCTGGGTGTGGCTCGGTGGCCGAGGTGGCCTGGCGTGTTTGAACCCTGGTTCCATTCCAGCACCACAGTCCAGGCTGGCCCAACCCCTCCTGCACTGGGAGCAGGCCCTGCGAGGCGAGCAGCACTGGCGTCCTTCCGCGTGGTGTCCTTGGCTGCCCCGGCCTCCTTCAGCACAGTTGGGAATAAGCGACGGAGCAGTTCCTGGCATGACGAGTAGCCAGCTGCTGCGCCAGGGCACAGGAGGAGTGAGCACTGAGACCCAAAGGGACCCTCGGCTGTGAAGGGCCCGGGGTCCCTGTGGTGGTTCAGGATAAAATGAGTTTTATTCTGTCCAAAAGTCAGGACATGGTGGCTTTGGTCCTTGGAAGTCCTGCAGGGGAGAAGAGAAGGCCTGAAATATCAGTCCTCCTGAATCGTGAGAATTAACACAAAAAGAAATTAAAAAACTAAAATTGAGTCCTATAGTCCCTGGTGGTTGAGAAGGTTTCAGAGTCCCTGTGAAGGGGACTGAATTTGCCTCAAAAGGTGACTTACAATTCTGGTTTATTGTTCCAGGGGCATCGACGTTGTGAGGAATAAAATCAAGATGTTTGCTCAACAGAAGGTCACCCTTCCCAAAGGCCGGCACAAGATTGTCATCCTGGACGAGGCAGACAGGTGCGCACCTGGAGGAGGCTCCTGCTGGGCTTTGTTAGAGCAGGAGAAGAATCACCTTTGTGGGGACTGGGGACATACCGCAGTTGGTAGAGCTCCTGCCTCGCATGCACGAGGCTCTGGGTTCAACCCCCAGCAGCACACACACAAGAAAGAACCACCTTTGAGGTGGGTTTGCTTACCACATCTTCAGACAGCAGTTGACCAG